AAACAATACAGACCGGTATTTAAATACAATTAACATACTGTACAATAATAGTTGATAAGAACATATAAGGAATATCTTAGTGACAGGGATCAGAGGGCAGACCCAGTTAGCCTTGATCCCTGTCTTCGACTTAAATTATTATTAATATATTATGCACTTTTATTTTTTTAAAGAAACAGTATTAAGGTACATGGGGGTAATATGGCCACCTTAAGTTTGCCCTCCTATAAAACCAAAACTAGGAGGAGGATAGATACAAAAATACAATGTCGAATACTATAACTAATATATCAATAAAAAAATAGCAAACAAGCTTTGGCAATAATTAGGAACACTTCGAAAAATTAATTTTTAAAAACTAACTCCACTACGCCATACTAAAATTAACTAAATATTAATTTATTATCAATTAATATCAATTGTTAAAATTGCTTCGATAGAGCAGCGCCCTTTTGACCCTTTATTATTTGATGGACTGATGAAGAGCTATCGAATCATATAAACTTCTTGCAAATAGGTAAGGCTTTATTTTTTGATTTATAATAAAGTGACCATATTAACTGGATGACCGTCTTACACTCACGTACTATAGTAGATCTTCTTCACACACACACACACACAAACGCACGCACGCACGCACGCACGCACGCACGCACGCACGCAAGCACGCACGCACACGCCACGCCACGCCACGCACACGCACACGCCACGCACGCCACGCCACGCACGCACGCACGCACGCACGCACGCACGCACGCACGCACGCACGCACGCACGCACGCACGCACACGCACACGCACACGCACACGCACACGCACACGCACACGCACACGCACACACAACATATGAGGTTACCAAACCACTGTAACTTTGTAATTTTTTTTTTACATATAAATTACATTGTCACTTATATCGAAATAATACATTATGATCCTACGATCTACAATATATGTAGCGCTCAATTACAAATAATGCTCTTATTTATATCTCATGGGATGGAGACCTGGCGATTTGTAATACAGGCATTTTATTGCCTCTCTCACAGATCTCTTCAGCTCTTCACTTCTAGGCTATGACTATGAACATACCTGTATTTAAATAGATATAAGTTTTTATTATGTATGGTCGGTATTTGTGAGGAGAAATAAACATAATTATTATTATTATATATTATTAAGGTGCCGTGCCGTTGTCATAGAAATAATCCTATTAATTCAGCAAACGGATCACACATTATTTCCAGTTCAAAGAAAAGCTTACGAAGCTTTATAAATCATACTAAAAAAACGGCCAAGAGCGTGTCGAGCCACGCTCAGTGTAGGGTTCCGTAGTTTCCCGTCCATCACAATAAGTGTTTAAAGGTGGTACACACTTATGAGTTTAAAGGTGGGTATCCATTATATTCGCGCTCCAGCAGCGCTCCGCGCTCCTGCAACTGCTCCCGGTAGTGGGTACTGTTGTTTCCATCCAAGTTCAAAATGATTTTCCTAGAAAGTCCTTATAAAGTTCTACTTTTCAGATTTTTTTCATATTTTATAAACTTATGGTTCAAAAGTTAAAGGGGGGGGGGACACATTGTTTTTTTACTTTTGGAGCGATTATTTCCGAAATTATTGACATTATCAAAAAATTATTTTAGTAAACCCCTTCATTAAATTTTAAATACCTTTCCAACAATATATCACACGTTAGGGTTGAAATTAAAAAAAATCACTTCCCACTTTACATATAAGGGGGCTACCCTAATAAAACATTTTTTCCAATTTTTATTTTACCACTTTTGTCGGCGTGATTGATACACATATTGGTACCAAATTTCAGCTTTCTAGTGCTAACGGTCACAGAGATTAAGCGAGGACGGACAGACGGACAGACAGACATGGCGAAACTAAGGGTTCCTAGTTGTCTACGGAACCCTAAAAAGATTTGGTTAAATTTTCATAATTATAACGTTTATTTTGAAATAAACATTGTTCACGAAATAAATATCGATTTCGATGGACAACATCGTCATCGTCCGTTTGTGATTCATAAAGTAATTCCACATATTTTACATCTTAATTATGGAGTGTAGAAGTAAGGAGTACAGACTGTGTATTAAAAAGTGTCCATAAAAACCTTTAAATAAGGTGGCGCCACTATATAGCTACGGGGTAAATTTTAAAGAAAGCACCGAAAAATATTAGTGGGTTAGACGACTTTTTCGAGGTTATATTTACTAAATAAAATTATTTTAGATATTAGAGCTACTGAGCAGTTTAGCAGCACACATAAACCGTCGACAACTGCTAAGTTAATTTCATCCCATTAGCTACTCCAGCGCTGTTGTGGAGAGTTTTTGAACTGTTATTTATTGCTTACAGATGACCACTTTTTCAACTATTCTACTATGGGAGTTGGTACTCCTTACTTTTACACTCCATAATCTTAAGATTCTTCCGACCTTGAATAACATTTTTATCGAATGACATGAATATTTTGCCGGTTCAAATAAAAGAAATGGCAGATTAGTCTTCGGTGCTATAAGACCGGGGAGGGGGCGGGATCGAAATAATTCCCCGGGGTACGATCTAAATAATTAGTTTTTACTTTATTTTAAATTATTTTTAAATTTGACAAAATATCGCAATATGAAAATTTTATTATTCGTTTTATACTTTTTTATATGTATGCAAGTACTACCCTAGATTACTGATAATAATATACATACGAATATAGCAGCTCAGTTCATTCTGAAACGGTGCGCTAAGAGATGCACCACGAGACCTCTCCAAAGGCGGCAGCGTTGGTGCAAGCGACAAACATTCTCAAACGAATAATGTGTTGTTATTACTATCAATACACCTATTTATAAAGATTGTCCAGAAGTTTGGGTCACAAAAATAAAAACAAGACAAATATTTCCTTATACATAGGTAGTAATGTTTTCTGCTGCACAGTAAAAAAACCTGAGTATGACAATGCCTCTTAAAACTTAACGAGTAACTATAATTCCATAACAGCTCAGAGACAATTTTTACTGTTGTACAGGTTATCTTTAAAAGCTATGAAACGATTGACGTCATAGTATTATTTATTCTGTGATTATAGCAAGATTTTTCACATAACGCGTGGCAAATTTTTATTCAGGTAAACTGCCTTTCATTTTTATGCGAAACAGTTTTTAAGAAAAACCTTTGCAACCGATATGACTTAGAGGTAATTCCATAAATGCACTATTCAGCTAATTTTGATAGGTATGCTAAAAATACATCGAAATTAGATTATAATAACTGTCAATAATGGATCCATAGCTATGCTCTGCAATTATTAAATAATGATAATAAAGCGACATTTGTAATGGCAACATATCTACTTATAATAAACCAGAAGTGGTGTATACTTTATTCACCCGGAAAAACATTATCTGTCACACACAAAAGTCATTTCAATAGTAGTTACCCTATTAGTGATGTGTAATAACTAGGGTTCGAAGTATCGGCCTTGGGGTCATACGAGTATAATGTCGGGAGCCGCGCTCGTTCTGTTAATCGATGCTATTATAGTATCGAGTTCATAAGGAAAAGATCACCATCATGCCACATAGAAAAATAGTTTAATAGAAAGTTAATATATCGACGTTTACAACATAATACATGCAGTTCTCTACAGCATATTTCGAAAACATATTGGAGTCCCGCCTCATTCTCACTTCATTAATCAAAAATATTTTTTAGGTTTATTAGCCTTATTAACAAAAGTTATGTTTATTTCATAAGCACACTGACAATACACAAATTAAACATTAACAACTAAATTATATGAAAAATAAACGCTCACTCATACGAGCATGTATAATTAAGTGTATAGAGTACATATATATGTATAAAAGGTAGTGAATAACAAGTGTACATAACATTCGCCATCAAATACACTTAAGTTAAGAAAAAACTAACCTTGAAAAAAATATTTTATTTAAATGTAAATGAGAACTTTTTCAAAGTTTTTTTAAAGACAATATAAGATTTATGTGACTTAGTAAAATGTATGTAAAACATGCTTCAGTGAACAGTTTTTAATGTAACATTTCTCACTGGCAACATTAATTAAAGAGCGTCGTAAATATCGGGGTATCATATTATGATCGTAAGTTAATAATCTATTTTAAGTGTTGCTACACTAGAATAATATTGGTATGAAATTTCAATACGGCGGACGATATTGAATAGCCGACGAAAATGTCAGCCTCGGTACGAAAAGCCTAATTAGCAAATTCAATTTTCAAAAGATAGGCTCACCGCCATTTCGTGCATCGCCCTAAATGAAAGTACTCGTTGATTATTAACTTATTTTTAGGAACAGAAAAATACTCATATACGCACATTTAGGTAATATAATCTTTGTGACTTGCACTCGGATGCCTCGTCTCGGATGTCGGTAAGTAGCGCCCGCTACTATGTCGATGGGCATCGTTTCCCTCGTCTCTGTCAAAGGGTGGGTGACGCATACCGCTGCCGTGAGCGCTGCGGTTCTTGAGACCAAGGTGCCTACGCATATGCCTCGGTAATGTGACCGGAAATAGACCTGTGTCAATGAACACGATTGAACTGTTTATTTGCAATTAAGTTGTTTACGTTGAGATAAACGTTAATAAGCGTATGAATAGGAAATTGCCGTCTTTAAGTACTAGCTAGTAGAGGAAGGATTGAAAACTACAAAGAATCTGCTTACAAAAATATTCCTCAATGGTTGCTATAATGCTTATAGCATTTTTTACAATAATAATAATAATAATAATAATAATAAAAAGGCGTAGGGAATTGACGACCCCATCGCCCGCTGACGTAACAGTTAAGTGACAAAACTGCTACGTCAACGCAGTCAGTCAGCGCCTTGCGAGAGGTGTGAGCGCCGTGCCTCGGCAGAATTTAGGGTGCAGAGGCCCGTTTGTGCTTATGGCTACACACGAAACGGTGCCGGGCCTGGGCGTCTCCCGTCAATGGACGCTCAAATAATGGATGATGGATAAAAAGATAGTGCGCAAAGGGCCGCTGCCTGGGGGTCGCCGGGGCGCGTCTGGAGCTGGCGCTGGACGCGGCAGCATGCGGGCCGCCAGCCGAGCGCGAGAAGCTGCACGGTCACCTAGCAGCCCTCCGCATCCATCATCCCCACCAGAAGGCTTGGTGTCGGCTGGGTCTTCTCGGACTCAGCAAGCGGCACCCGCCGCTGGTGGAGCACGTCGCATGCGTTGGTCACAAGCAATGAATGCAAACGCACTGCGGGCGTACTTAAGGGCAAAAGGGGAAGAAACTGGATGTTTGGCGTATCGGGCTAGGATGCATCGTCTTTTTGCTGAGCTGGAGCCATCTTTAATCGTCACAGAGCAAATCCTGGCAGACCGAGTTCGGTATATCTTGCGCTCAAATATATTTGATGTCGCCGAACTCGAACGGCTACGACGTGAGGCTGTTCCCTCGTCGGATGAGAATGCTACGGCTGAGGATGCGGCGCCACAAATGGTAGAGCAACCCGCAAACGTGGATGCCGCCGTGAATACCCCAGTTTTGGTTGATTCAAACGATGATGGAACAGTCGCCCAGGAACTGGAATTAGAGCATATGAGGAGTACATTGGAAGAGGCGATTGTGGAAACGCGCAGTACGCCTCTCGAAAATCGACTGCGACTTCCCCGCATAGCCCTAAGCAAGCGGAATCGGGCTGTCGTGAGGGCTCTGAACCCAATGCTGGTGACCTATTTGGAAGTCAGCCGGGACCTTTGCGAGACGGACTCAATTCTTTTTGGCGCCGCGCTGGCAGTCTGCCGTATCATAGGCGCCAAGGTTTCCACGGCTGGACGCGCTACTGGCCATAGTAGCGCTATCCCAGCATGGAGAAGAAGAATTGAGGAACGTATCGCAAAGGCTAAAAGCTCATCGGCAGACTGATATGCTTCAGATCAGGCAACAACAGGCCAAGAATTGTGCGCACCGTCAACTGCTGGGACAAATGTCAGTTTGTCCCAGCCGGATATAACGCAAAAACTGACGGAGCGCATAGATGATCTGAAGCAGAGAATCGCTGCTTGGGGAAAGCGGATTCGGCGATATACCGAGAGGTCGACACGGTTCAACCAGAATCGTCTCTTCCAGAGTGATCAGAAGAGGCTCTATGAATCATTGGAGCGACCAATGGTAAGTGGAACGGGTCCAGCACCGAATCAGGCCGACACTGTAGCATTCTGGCGCGGCCTGTGGTCAGAGCCCGTAAACCACAGCGAGGGCCCTTGGACGGAAGTTGTGGCGAATCAGTGTGCGGGTATTACGCCCATGGACCCCGTCATCATAACGCCGGATGACGTAGCTGAGGCGGTCCGTAGGGCCCCGAACTGGAAAATTCCGGGGCTTGACGGGCTGCATCACTACTGGCTGAAGGGGTTCATGGTGTGTCACTCTGTGCTCGCCCGACAGTTTCAAGAGGCTCTCAACCAGAAGTCGCTCCCAAGCCTCTTCACTACTGGGATCACTCATTTGGTTCCTAAAGACCAGGGTACCACAGACCCGAGCAAATACCGCCCCATCACGTGTCTACCGACCATATACAAGACACCAACATCCATTTTGAGCGCGAGAATCACTTGTCACCTGGACTCAAATCAGGTGATGTCGCGCGCTCAAAATGGGTGTCGGGGCGGTGGTCGTGGAACCAAGGAACCACTCCTTATTGACGCGGTCATTGGCAAAGTGGTGAAACGCAATCGTCGGAACTTCTCCGCCGCCTGGATAGACTACAGAAAGGCATTCGACTCGGTGCCCCATACATGGCTAAAGAGAGTTCTTGAGCTGTACAAGATAGACTGTACAGTTAGAGACTTCCTCAAGCAGTGTATGGGGCACTGGAGTACGATCCTTTGTCATCTGGGCGAGCGGATGATGGCTGCGGAGAACCACATAAGGATAAGAAGGGGTATCTTCCAGGGCGATTGTCTGAGTCCAATCTGGTTCTGCCTCTCTCTGAACCCTCTCAGTACCTTACTGGAGGGCTCCGGGAGGGGATTTCAGCTACGGAAAGGAGGGACAAAAGTGACCCACCCTTTCTATATGGATGACCTCAAGTTATTCGCCTCCAGTCGCTCCCATCTTATGGAATTGCTAAACATCACTTGTGAATTTAGCAATTCCATTGGAATGGAGCTTGGGACGGATAAGTGTGCGGTCCTCCATGTTGAAAGGGGAAGGGTTGCTAACTCTGAGGGCGTAGACTTATCTATGCCCGTCAACTTAAGGACCCTTTCCGAGGCTGAAACATACCGATACCTGGGTATGTCACAAAACATCGGTATCGATGAGACTGGTATGAAACAGTCAGTTTGCGACGTGTTTTATGCACGCTTGACCAAAGTGCTTAACAGCCTTTTGTCCGATGTGAATAAGGCACACGCATATAACGGCTGGGTCATGCCTGTCCTCATGTATACCTTTGGCATACTCAGGTGGACTGAGACTAAACTTAACGCCCTGGATAGAAAAGTCCGCACTACTATGACGTCCCATAGGATGCATCGTAATGAGGCTGTACTTGCCGCGGTAGCATGGTGGTCGTGGCTTCTTGAGCGCGCTCACCATGCATAATCGCGAAGTGTGCAGCCTCCGTGATTACTTCCTGGCGAGATCGGATGATCCATTCTATAAGGACGTCATTTCTTGTGATAAAGGACTTACCCCTCTATCCTTAGCCAACGAGCAATGGCAAGACCCGGCAGTACAGAGCATTTCCGACGGGGAGACCGTATGGAAGGAGAAGGAGCTCCACGGGGGGGTTCTACAAGGCTCTACATGAGCCTTTCGTAGACACAGTAGCCTCCCTCCACTGGCTACGCTTTGGTGATCTCTTCGGGGGAAACCGAGGGTTTTGTCTGTGCAATACAGGATCAGGTTATTAAGACCAACAACTATCGGAGATACATCCTAAAGGATGGCACCGTCGACATCTGTCGAGCTTGTCGCCATCCCGGTGAATCACTTAGGCATGTTATCTCCGGTTGTTCGGCGCTTTCTAACTCTGAGTACTTGCACGGGCACAACCTAGTAGCCAGAATTCTACACCAGGAGCTCGCTCTGAAATACGGTCTCGTGGATCGGAAATTGCCGTATTACAAGTACTTGCCGGAAGCCGTGCTCGAAAATGATCGCGCCAGGCTCTATTGGGACCGGGCCATCATCACAGACAGGACTATTCTTGCGAATAAGCCTGATATTGTGCTGATGGACCGGGCACAGTCAAGGATATTTTTGGTCGACATTACCATTCCGTATGACGAGAACCTCGTGAAAGCCGAAACAGACAAGCAAACAAAATATCTGGACCTGGCTCACGAGGTGACCGACATGTGGGGTGGTCTGCCGACCGAAATTATTCCTGTAGTCGTCTCTGCAAACGGGCTAATCCCAGTCAGCCTCTCGGGTCATCTGAGGCGGCTGGGACTACGTGGCGGACCGCTCCAGGTTCAAATGCAGAAGGCGGTGCTCCTCGATACCGCCCGCATCGTCCGCCGGTTTCTTTCCCTTTCCCCCTAACCCTCGGCCGTTTGGTCTCCCCTGCCGAGGGCCTCCATCTGGTTGGGCTTTTATTTATTTATGTACTATTATATTTATTTTATGTTATTGATATTTATGTATATTTATCTTTTCATTTCCATTTATAATTATATATTTATAAAACCCAACCAGATGAGAAAACTATATAGATACCCCACAATATAGTATATATAATATTTATTTTATGTTATTGATATTTATGTATAGTCTTTATTTGCATAAAACATGGTAATTATACAGATGTTTCAGAGTCTTATTATGACCACATGTTTTGCTATTTTAATATAATATAGCATGCAAATTACATTTAAATCAAGAGAACCTATACAGTATAAAATTAACAAATTAAACACACATATTATTTAAATTATAATTATGTTTTACAACGTCAAAATCTAGTTTAAAATGTCAGAAATTCATTAGTGTCGTAAATATTTTTGTCAATTAACCAATGGTACAATCTTTTTTTAAATACGTTCATATTATGTAGTGTTTTAATTTCATCAGGTATTTTGTTGTATATACGTACACACATTGATAAACAGCATTTACTATATTTAGCTGACTTCGGAACTTCGCTTAGAACTAATCTATTTAGATTTCTTTTAAGTCTAGGATTAATATCAGATGACTTTTTAAATAAATATGTATGCTGTTTTACAAATTTATCTATCTCAAAAATATATAACGAGGGCATAGTTAGTAAAGACAGATTTTTGAATATTGGCTTACAGGATTCTCTAGTTGGTATACCACATATCGTCCTTATACACTTCTTTTGTGCGATAAATGCCCTACGCCAATCTATGCTATTGCCCCACATTATTATACCATATCGAAGTATAGATTCAATATACGCCCGATAGCATAATAGGGCCGTTTTGTTATTAGTTACCTTTTTTATGGTAATTAGTGCATACACAAAACGATTAATTCTTTGACATAGGTCATCTATATGTATTTTCCAATCTAAATTTCGATCTATAATTACACCAAGAAATTTAATTTGTTCTATTTCCTTAATTTTATTGATATTTAGACAAGAATTAGTTTTTATTTTATTAAAATGCATGTAATTTGATTTATCTAGGTTTATATTCATATTGTTTCTATGCAGCCAATTAGTTATATTATCGATTGTATCATTTATTTTCTTTTCATGATTATGTAATGAATTACCGTTTTTTTGAGATGTTACAACTACGGAAATATCGTCCGCATACAATATACATTTGTGATTTGTCGCCGAGTTATATCATTAATGTATAAAATAAATAATACCGGCCCTAAAACACTACCTTGAGGAACACCATATTTTTTTCTCTGTACTTAGATGAGAAAGATAATATTTAATTTTTTACCATTTTATCAATAACGACACACTGCCGTCGATTTGATAAATAAGATGAAATCCACTCTAGAGCTATCCCTCTAATTCCAACCAAATCTAATTTACTTAAAAGAAAACCATGTGTGACAAAGTCAAAGGTTTTACTTAAATCAAAGAATAATCCTATTGTTAGTAGGTGCATTTATGCTAGAAATTATTGTTTTTATAAGATTAAAAGTTGCTAGCGTTGTAGATTTCTTTGTCTGAAAGGCATATTGTTCTGTTTTGATTATGTTAAACCTCTCAGAAAATTCCATTAACCTCTTATATATAATCATCCGAAATTGTTTTTTTTTTTCATAATTAGATCTGACATGTTTCTGGATTTCTAGTAAAATAACTTGATAGTTCTACGACTCCCAATAAATAAGATAAAATATTTAAAATATATTTATAACTGTATTTGTCTTTCTTATTAACTTTGTCTTTGTCTTTCTTATTAATATCATGAATCTCATTAAATAATTTTATGTAGACCAAACCGTCAAAATTCCGCATTTTGGATAATTTGGATTACAAAAAGAAACTTCGTAGGGTAAAGGTTGGCTTTATGGTGATAATAAGAAAAAAACTTAAAATTTTATTTCAAAATTAACATTTATTAGAAAACCTCTTTACTTATTACAATAATCAGACTTTTCTTTTCAATAATTATTAATCACAGCAACTTAAATTCTTAAACATTAATAGGAAAATCAGATCAAACAAATCTTTTTGGTGTTGGCAATATGGAGATACGGGGGGCAATTTGGTGATACCATATGTGGCAATATGGTGACAAGTCTATTCAGGTGCCCAATCACTGTCATCAGTGCCTGAAAAGTCTACTTTATCACAATTATCACACAGGAACTGTGGCGACTCTGTGCCAGTACATTCTTGGTGGTACCATTTGCCGCAGCTCATGCACTCTACCCATACAGCTCCGTTCCTAAGTGCCACATCTTGGGAGTAGTGAACA